CCAAAAAGGGACAGGGACGAACTGTCCCCCTAACCCCCGCCTTCGCGAGGACAGTAAGGAGACGACGGGGCCTGGTGGGGGTGACGCAGAAGGAAAGTGCGGGGTGTGGGGTGCAGGAGGGGTGTGCAGAGAGAGTGGGGGAGGCTTTGACAAACGGCCCCGGCGAGGCATGTGGGATGTGGTCATCGTAGGCCCCAGGCTGGGTCCCAGCCCATTACGGCTCCGCGTACCCGTGAGGTGGGCCAGCCCCCTGAGCAGACGCCCCGGGCGTGGAGGTAAGCGTGGGCCCGGCCCCGGGGGCTGTGGATGAGGGTCGTGGCGTGTCCCAGGACGCAAGGTCTCCAGGACACTGTCTGGGTCTGAGACGCCCCTGCCGCCCCTGCCAGCATCGTGTCAGGTCTGTGCACAGAGCTGACCTGAGACGCTGCCTGGGGGGGGTCTGGCCCTGCCCATGTACACAGAGGAGGAAACTGAGGCAGGAAGGTCGGGCACAGGGCTCCGAGCAGAGGCGTGGGGGCTCAGCGGGGGTGGGGGCTTACCCAGGTTGTCTGTCACCTGGTACGCGTCCCGCAAGTCCTTCATGCGGAAGCCGATGACGTCCACAAAGTCCTCCACCAGCCGGAACAGCTCCCTGGCGTTGGGGCCCATCTGGGGGGCGGCGGGGGGGGGGCAGCCTCAGAGACGGGAGCAGCCCCACGAGAGCGCCAACCACCAGAGCTACAGGGGGTGTCGTCGAGGGTCCCACACTCCGCCCGGGGACACCTTGTTCCTCCACCTCCTCCACCTCCTCCACCTCCTCCACCTGCCCCTCAGCTTTGGGGTCCTGCTGGCCACTCCCCAGCCCGCAGGCTCCGGGCCTGACTTGGGAAGCGGGGTCGGGACCTTCGAGTACCCGTCGCGCTTCATAGACGAGGACACTGGGCCGGGGGGGGGGGGCTGCTGTGCCAGGGGCCAGGCTGGGAGGACAGCGGGTCCCTGGGCTCCTGCTGTCCCCCTGAGTGCTGCCCGGGGGCAGGTCAGCCTGGGAGGGAGGGAGGGACCACCCTTTCCCGATGAAAAAGAACCGCTGCGTCCTGGTCACCCCAACGAGCACCACGTGATCAACACACCCCGCACCCCCTGTCCTCACGGAGCCCCCGAGGTGAGCTACCGTCCTCTGACAGACGGGGAAACTGAGGCTCAGAAGGCTAAGCGACCTCCTCCAAGCCACACGACGGGCGAGGCCGACGGGGGTGAGAACCCAGCGTTGGGCCAGCTCAGCCCGGGAGGCGCCCGCTGCCTGGCCGACCTGCTGCTCTGACCGCGCCCTCACCAGCTGCGCCTCCTCCCACTTGTCCCGGTTCTCCTCCGCCAGCAGGTTGCTGATGATCTGGACGAAGTTCTGGATGAAAGGGAAGAGCAGAGAACAGGCGGCAGGGTCAGGGCCCGGCCTGTGACCAGGGTCAGGGCTCAGGGTGTGAGCAGGGTCAGGGCTCAGAGTGTGACCAGGTCAGGGCCCAGTGTGTGACCAGGGTCAGGGCCCAGTGTGTGACCCGGGTCAGGGCTCAGGGTGTGACCAGGGTCGGGCTCAGG